CTGGAAAGGTGTGAGGTATTGCTTGGGTAATGGAAAAAACCCAATGGAAGCATAATATACTGTCATCTTCCCAGTGACCACGAGTCAGAGAACCAGAGTCTTGATCACATCCAGATAAATCACAAGGAAATGATCTCATTAGAAAGAAGCCCAGTGCTCCCTTCCCACTGCTTTTCCACATTTACACAGCCCCAAACTCCAAACTTTGGTTACACTTCTGCAATGGAACTCTGCTAACACAAGCTGCTGTTTTTAACATGCCCTAGCCTAATTTGGTGCAGGTTTTCATGAGCCTGGTTCATAAGCAGCAACACCTTAAGCAGGTGAAGATTTGGATATTGAACCTCTTATGTGAAGAGCATTTTTCCCCTCCCATCTTTCTTTTTATCAGGACCTCATGGGATAGTAGATAACAAAACAGAGGATCCACTCTTCCTATGTGAATGCTGTGCCCTGCATGTATCCCCTGCAGGGAAAGGTGGGAACAACTGGATGCTTATCAGCATTTTGCAGCCAATTCTCACGGACCATGGCTCATTCACTGAGACTCCAGCAGCAGCAGATGCAGCCTGGGGCTCCAGCCCATACCTTATCCAGCTTGTCAACGCTGGAGCAGATGGTTCGGAATTTGCTGTCCGGGACCCCACACACTGCAAACATCCCATCGAGGATGCGCCGGTCGTTCACCTGGGGAAAGGGACAACATCAGGAATTATGAACTCAAGCAGATGCTTCAGCCTTGTCCTGCTTCACTCTCCTGTAGTTTTAAGCATGGAAGAGAATATAGGAGACGTATGTGAAGGGGTTTTTTTGCTGTTTCTAATTTTTGTTTCCCATTCTTGGGGAGCTGAGCTTCCCAGAGCAGAGCAAATAGCACAACTGACATCTACCAAGCCTGGGCAGAGCCATCACATTTCCTTCTAGAGCTGTCCAGACACCTCCACTCAACAGAGAAAAATCAGGGCCTCTGAATCCCCTCATGTGCACAAGTGAAAACAGCTCAGGAGCAGACCACAGCCAAGGAGATGAATTCAGAGTATTACCTTACACTATCAGCCTAAAACAAAAGGGACATCTGGTTATATTAAATCTTCAGTGAGGATTTATTTTTTTAATGATAGTATAGTGAATTCTATAGCTTAATTATGGTCTGTAATAGCACATAGTTAAGGCCAAAGACTCAGCTGGATTCAACATTTCCATGGGTAATGAGAATGTCTACAATTAGGAACAAAGAAACTGCACAGGAATTTGGAATCCTCCAGCATCAACATAAACCAGAAAGTGCCTTGTGGGAGACAAGAACAACCACAGCAGGTTATTCTGTTGCTCCCCACTGCAGGAGTGTCTTGATCCTCAAAGGCACCACTGCCCAAACCCAGTTCCTTTATCTCACCCAGACAGGTGCAAGGGGAAGTACCCGGCCCCTGCTCCGTGGGGCTGCAACAGCAGCACAACATCCAGCCTGCAGTGCCCAGGAATGGCCCAGCTCCAGGTCCCTCACAGATCCCACTGTCTCCTGTGCATCCAGCACTCCCACCCATTGCTCTACTGCACCTGTGCACCCTTCCCATCCTGCCTCACCTACACATTGAGCACCATCTGCTGCCATCCCATGGGAACAGAGGTGTCTGGAAGCAAACAGCAGGCTCAGCCTACAGCAGGGAACAACTCTTGCTCTAGAAAATGCTTCAGCTCCAAAAAGGACTTGGTGGAAAGGCAGGAGTCTGCAGGCAGCACCACACACACTGAGCAGATAAGGGCAGGATATCCTGGACCAGAGCCTGTTTTACTGCAGGCAGTGAATATGACAATCACCTGCTTAGATAGATATTAGGAATAAATGTTTTATTATAGAGGTAGTGAGGCTCTGGCACAGGTTGTCCAGAGAAGCTGTGACTGCCCCACTCCTGCTAGTGTTCAGGACCAGGCTGGAAAGGGCTTAGAGCAACCTGGGACAGTGGAAGGTGCCCCTGCCCATGGCAGGGTAATGGAACTGGATTATATTTAAGGTCCCTTCCAACCCAGACCATTCTATCATTGTAGCTGGCTGCTGGAATTTTGCAAGGGACCATGGTTAGTTCT